AGAGACAGGGTCTCGATCTTGCTCAGGCTGGTCTCGAACTCCTGACCTTGAGCGATCCACCTGCCTCGGCCTCCCAGAGTGCTAGGATTACAGGCGTGAGCCACCATGCCCAGCCTCACCATCACTTCTAATTCACCCAATGGTGCACACCTGCTATACGGTGTTGAGGGGGATACACAGGCCAGTAACACTCAGTCCTGCTTTAAGGAGTTGTTCCTTATTGTGAAGTTGCTGCTGAGTGTACCATAGCGGGACTGAAGGCTGCCTGTCCGCAGGCTGGATTGCGTGTATTTATTAATACACCATGGTCTCCTTTGCTTTTTTATCTTGTCTTTTTGTTTCTGAATCCTCTTCTGTGTGCCTCTGATCTTACCCTTGCCCCTCTACAGGTGGCTCGTGTTCCTCCATTCTTGTTCTCTCGCTGTCCTAGGACCCGCTAAAAGTGGGGCTTGCTTGGAATTTGAGGCCTAGCATGGATTCCCACGTGTATCAACTTGACGAAAATAATAAATATGAATGACTGTTGAAACCGGAAGCAATGGCTCCACTGATGTTCTTTTCTTTTTGAAGACAGGGTCTCACTATGTTGCCTAGGCTGGCCTCGAACTCCTGGGCTCGAACCATCATACTGCTTCAGCCTCCTGAGGAGCTAGGAGTACAGGCTCGTGCCACTGTACCCAGCACCAATGTATTTACTTTTTATAGTTGTTGCTTTCCACCAATATTCCTCTCTGTAAAAGAAACTGCATTTGGGTTATGACCTTGAGTTGTTTACAATTTTGAAGGGAAAAAGACCAGAGATAACACTCATTCCTGTACGTAGCCCTTTACAATGGCTGCTGCCTGGAGAAAGTTGATGTAAGGAGATAATTAGGCTGCCTGCCACACCTTAATGCCAGTGACAAGAATACAGAACAGGCACAGGCAGAGCGAAGTGCTATCATAACTGAGTGCCGTGGAGTGTCTGTGTCTGCCTCATAGGCACTGTGTACTCATCTGTGACACCACTGTGTAGTCGCCCAAGCCAGAACCCTGGGGGTCCTCCTCAACACACCTCCCTTTCTGACCCTCCATGTATAGGCCCCAGGTCCCAAGCGGTACTTTTCTGTGGCCCCTCACTGCCCCGAACAGTCCTGACCTCGATCCCTCACCTGCACCATGGCCAGCTGCCTTCTCACACTGTCTCTGTCCCCACTTTTGTCACCTCCTGGTCTCCACCCTGAAGTCACAATGGGCTTTCTAAAATGCAAATATGGTCCATCCCTGCTTAAAATTCTTTAGTGAATACCCGTTGCCCTGAAGATAAAAGTTCAAACTCTTTAACAAGATACACAAAGCCCTGTCAATCTGCTCCCCAATTCTAAATTCTTCTCCTTACTCTGTCTGGAAGGCCAAGCTCTCCCCTGTGAGTCTCCCAGCACCACCCGCATCCATGTGTGCTCAAGTTTACCTATGGGTCCTTCAGGTGGCTGCTTAAATGCCAGCTGCCCTCAGGTCGACATGCCCAAATCTAGACCCCCAGCTCTTCGCACAGGTCTGGCTCGGGACTGGTTGCGTGCTGAGAAAAGGATCGAATCCCAGGTTTCACCAAGGCATGGGCCATGTGCTGCTTCTCTCCTGTGTTGGCATCAACTCAAAAAGCAGCTTTAGGCCGGGCGCGGTGGCTCACGCTTGTAATCCTAGCTCTCTGGGAGGCCAAGGCAGGCGGATTGTTTGAGCTCAGGAGTCCGAAACTAGCCTGAGCAAGAGCGAGACCCCATGTCTTACTAAAAATAGAAAGAAATTAATTGGACAACTAAAAATATATAGAAAAAATTAGCCAGGCATGGTGGCGCATGCCTGTAATCCCAGCTACTCGGGGCTGAGGCAGAAGGATTGCTTGAGCCCAGGAGTGTGAGGTTGCTGTGAGCTAGGCTGACGCCACGGCACTCACTCTAGCCAGGGCAACAGAGTGA